GTCCGCGGTGAGTGGCTTAACCCAGCGGCATATGATTCAAACTGTGACGATCCCTACAGCCCATCAGCGGGCCCACGAGACATCCAAGATGCTGTGCCACAATCTCAGCATCGACAGTATTATGTGGTGCGAAAAGGACGGGCAAATCACTGGTGTAGTCTGCGACTGGGACCCTGCGGAGGATCATCACAATGGCTACCGTCTATCTATACGACCTCCAGACGAGGTGGCCGCTGCGGGGCCGCCAGTTAGCGTGGATACAAGCAAAGGGACAGGTCATTCGTGGCGACAGCTCATGAGCAAGATCAAGACTCGGTTCAACTTGAATGTCAAACAGGAAGTCACGGCTTCATCGTCGCAGCGCGCACCAAAACCGAGGTATCGCACCGGTGCGGAACCCTTCATGGCGATGGACCTTCTGCGTTCCGACCCCCCTCCCGTTTACAAATATCGCCACGACCTGGAGTCGTTCTTCTACATATACGCGTACGCCGCCGCTGCGTACGATCCGGTGAAGAAGAAGTTCGGGTACATCGCGCAATGGCAACACAGCTCGCTCGTCGCTATTGCGGACAGCAAGCGCAAGTTCCTTACAAATGGAACGGAAATCACGGCCGTCTTCTCCAAGGCGCACGAAGACTTCAAACCATTGCTCGAGCCGGGTGCTCTCCTGATGCAACTTCTGCACACTTTCAGGGCTCTTGAGTGTCACATGGACACCATTGAGGACATTATGACCAGCATCGTGTTACTCGGCCAAACGGATGATGTTACGGCGGAGGTCGAGAAAATCGAGAGGATGAGGGATCAGGTGGTCACGTACAGTACATTTATGAGGATTCTAGGGGCACAAGAGGACGTGTAGACTTGCTCACTATTCCTCGCAACTCACGCGTTCTACGGGTTCTTGTTTCAATCCAAACCCAAACTTCCCTTCCATTGTCATGACCCGCAGAGAGATACCGCGACTGTGTTTGGTACTAATACTACTTGTTTGGCGGTGCCAGCTTTCCTCTGTGAAATACACCAGCGCTCAGCCTGCGCGTTCTCAGTTTAGTGGACTCGAGCGCTCCGTCTCTACTAGTAGTAGATGTACCGATGTATTCTTTTAGCCTGGTAAGGACGTGGTAATCTATGTTTCCCTACTGTTTACTATTACTTCTATCATAGTGAGGCTTCGTGGAAATTGGTGGTACGTACATGAGGGTTGCAAGCAGAGCATGTTTCGTCTGACCACGCACTGTTGACGTCCCAACACTGGCAACTTGGCCTCAACTCAAACAACCACTGCGGCGTTGTTGTTCTATACAATTCAGGTTCCTCAGGCCTCAGGGCCTCGACATTCAGCGCTGATTCAACGCTGTTTCGTGAAACACGAACTCCGGCTTCGTTGCCATGGAAGGTGCAGGTGTACACAATTTGTTGGCAGTGAGACTACTCGCCACGGCGCTTTGCCGGGCGCTGTATATACTGGTCGCATCTTCATATCGAAGTCCTCAGGCGACACAAAAGGCTTCAGCGAAAGGAATCGGGGTATGTATTCCCGTGATCAAGTACTTATACATCGGCACGACGTAGATAATATGTATTGCAAACAGAAATCCGCGGAATACACGTTGATTCCGAAGGATACGCAGCGACTCTACACGTCCTCCGGTACCCCAAGAATGTCCATAAACGTACTGTACGTGACCATCGCATCCCTTTCCCTCTCGAGCTTCTCAACCTTAGCCCCATTGTCGACGGCAGAGCCTTTTCTACACTCATCGGTGACAGCAAGACGGTTGATCACGTCCTTGCGACGTTCAATAGCCCTGAAAGTACGGAGAAGTTGCATCAGGAAAGCGCCCGGCTCGAGCAGCGGTTTGAAGTCTTCGTGCGCCTTGGAGAAAACGGCCATGAATTCCGTTACATTTGTAAGGAATTTGTGCTTGCTGTCCCCAATGGCGACGAGCGAGCTGTGTTGCCATTGCGCGATGTACCCGAATCTCTTCTTCACCGGATCGTACGCAGCGGCGGTGTACGCGTATATGTAGAAGAATGACTCTAGGTCGTGGCGATACTTATGAATTGGAGGGAGGCCCGAGCGCAGGAGGTCCAAGGCCATGAACGGCCCTGTACCGGTACGATACCGCGGGGTTTGCTCAGGCATGAGCTGGGATGTCGCGGCCGCGGGCTCCTGTCCGCTGTTGACCCGACTCTTCAGTTGACTCTTGAGCTGCTCCGACGGTTGCCCGGCCTGTTTGCTTGTACTTGTGCTTGCTGGCGTCGCGGCGGCCTCGTCCGAAGGTCGGATAGACAGATGGTCGCCATTGCTGTGATCCTCGGCGAGGTCCCAATCGCAAAGAACGCCAATGATCTCTCCGTCCCGCATGAACCACATGATATTGTTCGTGCTGATGTCGCGATGAAGTATCCTTGACGTCTCGTACACCCAGTAGTGAGCTGGAGATATCGTCAGACAGTGACCACACTCATACTAGGTTATCACGTACCGCGAACGACATGGACGAACACAGTATGAAACCCCTTCTGGGAGCCGATGGTTTCCAGACGTTCGTACCGCCTGAGGATCAGAGTACGGCAAACCCGAAGATCCTGTTCCTCGGGGACAACACCCATCGCAACACGAGGTAGACCCATTTCTTCGATACTCTTCGTCACCGAGCACTTGAGGTCCACGACGTGATCCAAGTACTTCTCCTTCCCCTTCTCAACCAGACACTGGCGGACAGCACGGATCATCTTGTCTTCCGCCTGACGAGACTTGTGCGGCCACGCCACCTTTGCAACGAGCGGTTCGTCCTTGAGCTTCTCTGCCGCCTTAGACTCGTCGCCTTGCTCCGCTTTCACGGGATAACGGTAGTCCCGCGTCCGATGAGGCCGAACTCGGTGTATACAGCGCGAGGGTCCGCCTTGGTGACATCAACGTCGAAGACAAACTCTTCCATGCCCTGCTCCTCTTGCACGTCCAATCGAATCTTCGCCCCCACGTAACCCGTCCGTGAAGAGAAGACGACAGCATCCTTGTGTCGGAAGTGAAGAGCTGGATGAATCCCCAGATCGTGCACACCGGCAGCCCCTGTAGCAGCCACAATCAACAGGAACAGTGCGGCGTCGTCCTGCAGGAAATCGATCTCCTTGGTGAAGATGAGACCCATGCGATCACCATAGACGAGTCGCATCTTCGTCTCCTCGATCAACCAGCCGACTGCGTACGATCGTACGTTGGACGACATGATCTGGTTGACGTACTTGACGACTTGCACTTCCTTCGGACTCATGGGAGGGGTTCTGCGGGACGGAAGAGGCAGTACAGACGCAGTACGCGCGCGCTTTGAATCGGGTGCCGAACCCTCCTCCTTCCCTCGCTTTCGTTTGCTCGCGGATCCAGAGGCGGCACCTTGCTGCTCTTCCGAATCGCTCATGCCCTGTTCTTCGTCCGCGTCAGCTCCACCCTCGTCAGCGTCGCCCAGACCCTCCTCATCTTCGGCATGGTCGGAGTCAGCGTCCAACTACATCAAGTGCGTCAGCCGGTGGCAGCCTACAGAAAGCAAATCACGAACGAATGCGGAGAACACGCCATCTTCACAACCGATGAGCATGTCTCTAAGCGTCTCCTCGATGGTCTCCGCGTTTGTCTTCTGGACTTCTACGGGAACGAGCTCCCACTCCCAGACAGGCTTGCCCTTGACGGTACTGTAGGTAAGGTCTGGCTTTTCACCTAGCTTGTGCTTGCTCTTCGTCACGATATGACCACGAGTACGGAGGCGACCCGGGTAGGTGCGCAAAGGCGGGAGTGCAGGCTTGGACCCGGCCTGACCTTCGCTGTCGGCCACATCGTGACGCTGTCTCATCACGGCCGAGCACCGCGTCGTGGCAGCCGCGCGCAGCGTTTTATCGGCTGCCTTGTCTTCGTCGCTCTTGGGTGTTTCGTCGTCGGGGAGCGGTCCGTACAGTTGGCACAACAAGCCGTTGGCCAGGTTGTTGAACGGCGTATAGATCGATAACTCCTTGCCCACCCGGTAGGCTTTGATGTCGGCATTTCCCAAGGAGTATTGCTGCGTGTGCTCTTCATTGTTGTCGCGATACGGAGTGGGGTGTATGTCACTCCAGCCGAAGCGGAAGACAGCGCGTACAAAGTCCTCCACGTCGACGTTCCGGCGGATCTTGTCCGTGTATTCGCGGTGGATCAACGCTACGTGGTGCTTCGTCAGGGCGGAGCCCTTTGGATCCTGGATACTGCTGATAGCGCTCGGTTGCAATGGTGTCGAATGTATCTTAGCTAAAATACACATGGTCAACGTCAAAGTAGGCATTCCTAACCGTCTCTTTCACTTACGTTCTGCCTGCCCTCGGGGCGGCGTACGCGGCGCAGAAGGACCAGGCGGCGCGGACTTCGTGGTGTTCATCTCGCCGTAGATAGCAGAGCAACCTGCAGATTCAGATAGTACTACGAAGAAAGCTCGAGGGTGATATGGCGACTCTCTGCGGAGGCAGAGTGGGGGCAGGGAGCCTGCAGATGGGAGCAGTCGACGACATTGCAACTCAGGCGAGTTCATGTTTATATCAACGCCTGCGCGTGGTCTCGGATCTACCCGTGGACAGGAAATTCCAAAGTCAGCGACGAGGACCGTGAGTCAAGAAGAACAACGCACCGTGCCGTGGACGTTCAAGTTAAGGCAAGATTGCCATATCGGGAGGACAATGGGACTGATGGGCACGTGGTCGCGCAAAACACGCTTCTTGCAAGGCTCCCCAGTATGATTTCTGCGGAATAACTGGCAGAGACCGGTGCGGGCGATGCATCAAATAACGGTAACATCGCGGAGAGGACTCCTGCAGACTGTGGCGTACGGAGCCTCAGTCGACAGTTTGTGTTTGAGGATTCTTCACCTCCGGGCGTCTCGCAGCGTAAGTCAGAATCTCAGATATGCATCACGTGCACACAGGCAGCATGCCCTATTATCGTAGTAGCGCCAGCGCCATCCCCGACTCCTGCATGGGCCAGCATGGCACCCAGCTGCTCAGCCTGCCACAGCGGAACCATACAAAACTCCCCTCACCGCGTCTCATCACGATCACCTTGTACATCCATGATCTCAGGGCCTGGACCGGCATGGTCCCAGCGCGATGGACGCCTGGGTCAGTGTTGATGCTCTAGGGGAAATTCTGAAGAGTAGGGATGCATGGCGCGGCTACGAACTCGCCGACGACACGCGGGTGCTGCTCCTCGGCCACTCGAATGGCGGCCAAGGGGCATGGTGGAACGCGGCGAGGTACCCGGATCGAGTCGCTGCCGGTATGTTTGTTGAGTTCTCGCCCCTCGCCAATGCCGCGATTGCATTCACTGAGCATACCAATCGGTGCAGTCATCCCGGCGGCGGCGTACCTCAAGTCGCAGGCATATGTACCCCTCATCCAGTCTCAGTAAGTATTGTGTCTCCGCTCGCACCGAAGGCAATTGACGTGGCTGCTCTGCAGTTCCGCGCATTACGTCGACCCTTTCCTGCGGGCGATCCTTGAGACCGCGCTGACCCCCGATGATAACGACCTTTTCCTGTCTAACCTCGCGCACACACAAATTCTTGCGATCCACGGCGGCGACGACGAGAACGTGCCGACGTGGCACAGTCGTGCGTACGTCAGCACCCTCAAGACGTGGAACGCCGACGCGCCCGTGAAGTCAGTCGTTCAAGCTGTTGTCATTCTCGGTGCTTGATGCTGACGGTAACATCATAGGCTACGCGAAGATCCCGGTGAACTTCACTGGTACACAGGGGTGTTCGACAACGCCGATGTGCGCGTGTATATGCGTGCGGTGTTGGAAAGCGAGGCGGGCTTGGCTACATCTGTCGGTTCGGGCCGAGCCCGGATAGCTTCACCTTGACTGTCTCCATACCTGCTGAGAGCGGCTCGCTTCACGGATGGCGGATCCACCAACTGCTAGTGCCTGGCCGGATTAGATCGAGAAGCATAACGGAACGCATACTGATTCGATTCGCATTCAGCATTGGAAGGCTTACGGTCGTACTGAGCGGGACATCAATCGACGTCCGCACGAACAACGTCGCGGTGTTCTCATTTCAGCACATCCCTCGATATGCTGCGGACGTTCTGGTCATAGACGGCTTCACATTCCCGATGGATGCTCTTCGAGACAACAGTCACAACGCAGTGCATTTCTCACGTGAGGATGGTACATGGAAAGTACGTACCCACTCCGAATACGCCTCCGCAAGACCTTTGTTGACGCAGCGCAGTCCTCTGTTGACCCGCCGGCGGCTCTTCAACCACATGGGAGACTAGCCAGAATCCTCACCTCCCCTGTACCGATAGTTATCGTCTATGATCCTAGCTCTCCAAGCTCCCTCTCGGCAACGCTACGCCTAGCCTCTGCTCTCGACGGTTACCACAAGCTTGATGCGGAGATCATTGACGACGCGGAGGCCGTCCGGAGACTACACACCGAATCTCTGGGCACTGCCAACATAGTCGTCGTCACGAATGGAAAAGGGGACTTTGCGCAGTCTCTGCTCTCGCAAGAGCGCACAGCGTTCACCCTCGATAACAGGACATTACTTCTGAGAGGCAAGCCTCTGGGAGCGAAGTCCGCTGCGCTGTTCTTGCATCCGCATCCGAGTGCATCAGATGCATCTATTCTGTTCGTATACACCCAGGATGAGGTAGGATTGGAGAGAGGCCTCCGGCTCTTTCCCATTCGTACAGGCGTGCCAATCCCCCATTGGGTTGTAATCACAGACCATGCGGACAAAATGAGAGCGGGAGGGATAGAAGGAGCGGGGTGAGTGTCACTGCTCTCTTGTAGACTGGGACTCGGCTCAAGTGTCTGAATTGAGCGTATGGGGAAACACCTGGAGCTGGAATGAGGGAATGTCCGCCTATTGACTCATTATTTGAACGCCTCAACCGCTGTACTTTCAAAGTTCAGCAGATATACACCCGTGAAAGTTGCGGATCACATGGCCTCTGGTCTCAGTCACTGCTAGCATGACACACCGTAGTGCGAAAGATTGGCCTTGAGCTAGCAGCTATGGCATCCTCCGTCCTTGCTACAAGTCTCATGGTGACCAGCTCATCCCTCGTCTTCTGAACCTCCTTGGCCGTCTGATGATCTTGCAGAAGGCCTCCGTGTACCCTCGCTCAGACGTCGTCAATGCAATCCATGACGCGCTCAACGTCATGGAAAGTTCCAAAGTTAGCACAAAAGGCCGTCCAGTGTAACAAACGGTTTGCAGACCTCTCATGGGCTTTTTTGTCGACGTTCTCAATTGCCTCGGATCTCGTCAGAAACCTATGCCTGCTGTCCCCGATAGCGATGAAGAAACTACGTTGGCATTGCAATGTAAGCCGAGTGGCTTACCACAGTACTTCTGTACCTACCAAATTCGGCGAGTCGTGTATGTTCAGACGTTCACGGTCGCTCCTCTTTTGGTTGCGCGACGCTCTCTTTGTGGGTTCGTCTTTTGCTTCTGTCTGCCTCATATACTAACTTGCTTTCTCCTGTCTCTCGCCCGCTCTAGAACCCTTAGTCTAAGTTCAATCGAACTTCGACTTACACAGTCTCAGGCTGAACCACCGAGTGTGCTCTGCCGAACAAGCCCGGCAGATTCATAGACAAGGACGTTCGCCCGGTCTATGCTGAATTCGATCTCTTTGGACGAGGGACCACTGTCATCAGGCTAAGCGGGGTCTAGCGGAAAAGATGTGTGGCTCGGAACCGCTTGTCGCGAAGATGGCATGGCCCCACAAGCACCGTGAAACTGAAGACACCATGATCCGCGCTGTTCGTAAGACTCTGGCTCACAAGAAGGACAAGTACGTGGCGCACAGTACCATGGACCTGAAGCGCGCAGTAACGAGGAGCATCGACTCGGAGATGGAGTTACCCCGCGTCGCGACTGGGATCGTCCGGGAGGAGTATCAGGATCTTCGAGTCTGCCGGACTCTGATACTCAAGCGATACCAACTCTTGCATGTCATTGGATCTGCGGGGAAGTCTCACACTGTGTTCGTTCACGTTGTTCGCGGTACGTTATCACCGAAAAGGAGTGCAGTCTCTATCTGACGGTCTCTGCAGCTCATTACTGGGTTTATGAGACATCCAAGATATTGCACCGTGATATCAACATCAAGTACATTATGTGGTATATGCGGGACGGTCAAATCATCGGCGTGCTATGTGATTGGGACCTCGTCGAGGAACACAGCAAAGGTGACCGCCGGTCCATCCGACCTGCAGACGGGACGAACGCTTCCTCGCCATCAATCGCGAGCACCAGCAAACAGGCGAGCCATTCAGATGAGCCTGAGGGCGCGCAAAATCCGAGGTATCGCGCCGGCACAGGTCAATCCAAGGCCCTGGACCTGCTACGACTCGGAGAGGGCCTACCTTCACAAGTATCGCCATGACCTCGAGTCATTTTTCTATGTCTACGTCTACGTTGCCTCCGCGTACGATCCGCTGAATAATGTGTTCGGGTACATCGCACAATGGCAACACAGTTCGCTCGTCGCTATTGGGGATAGCAAGTACAAATTTCTCACAGATGTGGAAAAAACCGACAACGTCTTTTCCAAGGCGCACAAAGATTTTAACCCATCGCTCGAGCCGCGCGGTCTCCTGATGCGGCGTATGCCTATTCAGGAATCTTGAACGGCGCATGGACATGATTAAGGATCTTGCGGCCGATGACCGGTTTGGTCTCGATGATGATGAACCTATCGTTGACATCGGAGCCGCGGTTAGCAAGATTGAGGAGGAAAGGGATCAGATGGTCACGTACATGAAGTTCATGGAGATTCTTGGCGAGCCGGAGGATATGTAAAGTCTTGTCCCTCGCCACCCATGTACTTGGGTGATTGACAATGTTGAATGTGCAAGTCCAAGGCTGACGAACGAGTACGTGGGCGCGGCCCCCCAAACAAGTACGCTGATCTACAGTAAAAATCGAACGGGGTGGCTCTGCGGACTAGTCTACGAGACAATCTTCGCATAGTGTGTAAGCGGGGAAACGGACCTCGAACCAGCGGACTCGGACCAAGACGTTCGCACCTGACTCAGTTGAATGGTCGTTCAGTTCGTAATGATGCCTCCCCTTTGGCAAACCATGACCGAACTCGGTTCTCAGATCTTGAAAGTCCAAGTCCAAACTAACGTTCCACTGACTATGACCCTCAGGCTGCCTGTGTGCACGTGATGCATATCTGAGATTCTGACTTACGCTGCGAGACGCCCGGAGGTGAAGAATCCTCAAACACAAACTGTCGACTGAGGCTCCGTACGCCACAGTCTGCAGGAGTCCTCTCCGCGATGTTACCGTTATTTGATGCATCGCCCGCACCGGTCTCTGCCAGTTATTCCGCAGAAATCATACTGGGGAGCCTTGCAAGAAGCGTGTTTTGCGCGACCACGTGCCCATCAGTCCCATTGTCCTCCCGATATGGCAATCTTGCCTTAACTTGAACGTCCACGGCACGGTGCGTTGTTCTTCTTGACTCACGGTCCTCGTCGCTGACTTTGGAATTTCCTGTCCACGGGTAGATCCGAGACCACGCGCAGGCGTTGATATAAACATGAACTCGCCTGAGTTGCAATGTCGTCGACTGCTCCCATCTGCAGGCTCCCTGCCCCCACTCTGCCTCCGCAGAGAGTCGCCATATCACCCTCGAGCTTTCTTCGTAGTACTATCTGAATCTGCAGGTTGCTCTGCTATCTACGGCGAGATGAACACCACGAAGTCCGCGCCGCCTGGTCCTTCTGCGCCGCGTACGCCGCCCCGAGGGCAGGCAGAACGTAAGTGAAAGAGACGGTTAGGAATGCCTACTTTGACGTTGACCATGTGTATTTTAGCTAAGATACATTCGACACCATTGCAACCGAGCGCTATCAGCAGTATCCAGGATCCAAAGGGCTCCGCCCTGACGAAGCACCACGTAGCGTTGATCCACCGCGAATACACGGACAAGATCCGCCGGAACGTCGACGTGGAGGACTTTGTACGCGCTGTCTTCCGCTTCGGCTGGAGTGACATACACCCCACTCCGTATCGCGACAACAATGAAGAGCACACGCAGCAATACTCCTTGGGAAATGCCGACATCAAAGCCTACCGGGTGGGCAAGGAGTTATCGATCTATACGCCGTTCAACAACCTGGCCAACGGCTTGTTGTGCCAACTGTACGGACCGCTCCCCGACGACGAAACACCCAAGAGCGACGAAGACAAGGCAGCCGATAAAACGCTGCGCGCGGCTGCCACGACGCGGTGCTCGGCCGTGATGAGACAGCGTCACGATGTGGCCGACAGCGAAGGTCAGGCCGGGTCCAAGCCTGCACTCCCGCCTTTGCGCACCTACCCGGGTCGCCTCCGTACTCGTGGTCATATCGTGACGAAGAGCAAGCACAAGCTAGGTGAAAAGCCAGACCTTACCTACAGTACCGTCAAGGGCAAGCCTGTCTGGGAGTGGGAGCTCGTTCCCGTAGAAGTCCAGAAGACAAACGCGGAGACCATCGAGGAGACGCTTAGAGACATGCTCATCGGTTGTGAAGATGGCGTGTTCTCCGCATTCGTTCGTGATTTGCTTTCTGTAGGCTGCCACCGGCTGACGCACTTGATGTAGTTGGACGCTGACTCCGACCATGCCGAAGATGAGGAGGGTCTGGGCGACGCTGACGAGGGTGGAGCTGACGCGGACGAAGAACAGGGCATGAGCGATTCGGAAGAGCAGCAAGGTGCCGCCTCTGGATCCGCGAGCAAACGAAAGCGAGGGAAGGAGGAGGGTTCGGCACCCGATTCAAAGCGCGCGCGTACTGCGTCTGTACTGCCTCTTCCGTCCCGCAGAACCCCTCCCATGAGTCCGAAGGAAGTGCAAGTCGTCAAGTACGTCAACCAGATCATGTCGTCCAACGTACGATCGTACGCAGTCGGCTGGTTGATCGAGGAGACGAAGATGCGACTCGTCTATGGTGATCGCATGGGTCTCATCTTCACCAAGGAGATCGATTTCCTGCAGGACGACGCCGCACTGTTCCTGTTGATTGTGGCTGCTACAGGGGCTGCCGGTGTGCACGATCTGGGGATTCATCCAGCTCTTCACTTCCGACACAAGGATGCTGTCGTCTTCTCTTCACGGACGGGTTACGTGGGGGCGAAGATTCGATTGGACGTGCAAGAGGAGCAGGGCATGGAAGAGTTTGTCTTCGACGTTGATGTCACCAAGGCGGACCCTCGCGCTGTATACACCGAGTTCGGCCTCATCGGACGCGGGACTACCGTTATCCCCGTGAAAGCGGAGCAAGGCGACGAGTCTAAGGCGGCAGAGAAGCTCAAGGACGAACCGCTCGTTGCAAAGGTGGCGTGGCCGCACAAGTCTCGTCAGGCGGAAGACAAGATGATCCGTGCTGTCCGCCAGTGTCTGGTTGAGAAGGGGAAGGAGAAGTACTTGGATCACGTCGTGGACCTCAAGTGCTCGGTGACGAAGAGTATCGAAGAAATGGGTCTACCTCGTGTTGCGATGGGTGTTGTCCCCGAGGAACAGGATCTTCGGGTTTGCCGTACTCTGATCCTCAGGCGGTACGAACGTCTGGAAACCATCGGCTCCCAGAAGGGGTTTCATACTGTGTTCGTCCATGTCGTTCGCGGTACGTGATAACCTAGTATGAGTGTGGTCACTGTCTGACGATATCTCCAGCTCACTACTGGGTGTACGAGACGTCAAGGATACTTCATCGCGACATCAGCACGAACAATATCATGTGGTTCATGCGGGACGGAGAGATCATTGGCGTTCTTTGCGATTGGGACCTCGCCGAGGATCACAGCAATGGCGACCATCTGTCTATCCGACCTTCGGACGAGGCCGCCGCGACGCCAGCAAGCACAAGTACAAGCAAACAGGCCGGGCAACCGTCGGAGCAGCTCAAGAGTCAACTGAAGAGTCGGGTCAACAGCGGACAGGAGCCCGCGGCCGCGACATCCCAGCTCATGCCTGAGCAAACCCCGCGGTATCGTACCGGTACAGGGCCGTTCATGGCCTTGGACCTCCTGCGCTCGGGCCTCCCTCCAATTCATAAGTATCGCCACGACCTAGAGTCATTCTTCTACATATACGCGTACACCGCCGCTGCGTACGATCCGGTGAAGAAGAGATTCGGGTACATCGCGCAATGGCAACACAGCTCGCTCGTCGCCATTGGGGACAGCAAGCGCAAATTTCTTATGGATGCAACGGAAATCAAGGAAGTGTTTTCCAAGGCGCACGAAGACTTCAAGCCGTTGCTGAAGAAAGGCACTTTCCTGATGCAGTTTCTGACACTTTTTGGGGATCTTGAGTCTCGCATGGACGAGATTGAGGACATCATGGCCGACATTATGTTGGTCGGTCCAACCGATGGCGTTAGGGCTGAGGTTGAGGAGATCGAGAGGGAAAGGGATGCGATGGTCACGTACAGTGCGTTCATGGAGATTCTTGGGTCACCGGAGGACGTGTAGAGTCGCTGCCTGCCAGTGTTCCTCGCAACGTGTTGGATGGATTCCTATTTGCACTATTTACTTGTTGTCTACGTCGTGCCGATGTATATGTTGAGGGATGATCGGATGGTCATGTACAGTACGTTTATGCAGATCCTCGGGGCATCTGAGAACGTGTAAAGTCACTGCCTTTTTCTCGCAACTCACGCGTGTTCGACCGGTTCGTGTTTCAATCCATATGCAAACTTTTGTTCTATTGACATGACCCACTGTATTTGGTAAGGCCTCAGTCCCAGGCGGCATGCCTGTGTGCACGTGATGCATATCTGAGATTCTGACTTACGCTGCGAGACGCTCGGAGGTGAACTTGAATCCTCAGACTCAGGTTGGACTGAGGTGTTTCCGTGAGCCACAGTCTGCTGGAGTCGCCTCCGCGACGTGACCGGTATCTGATGCATCGCCCGCACCGGCATATGTCTGGCTTACATCCCGCAGAAAATTACAGTGGGGAGCTTTGCAAGAAGCGTGTTTTGCGCGACCACATTATCCTCCCAATATGGCAATCTTACCTTAGCTCGAACGTCCACGGTCCTTGTCGCTGACTTTGGAATTTACTGTCCACGAGTAGATCCGAGACCACGCGTAGGCGTTGATATAAACATGAACTCGTCTGAGTTCCAATGTTGTCGACTGCTCCCATTCGCATCCCCCCTTGCCAGTGAAGTACTTGGACCACGTGGACCTCAAGTGCTCGGTGACGAAGAGTATCGAAGAAATGGGCTACCTCATCTTGCGATGGGTGTTGTCCCCGAGGAACAGGATCTTCGGGTTTGTCGTACTCTGATATTCAAGCGGTACGAGCGTCTGGAAACCATCGGATCCACCAAGGGGTTTCATACTGTGTTTGTCCATGTCGTTCGCGGTACGTAATGACCAAGTGCGACCGTAGTCGCTCTCTGATGATATCTTCAGCTCACTACTGGGTGTACAAGACGTTCAAGATACTTCATCGCGACAT